TAATGCATTAATGAATTAATGCTTGCAAGGCACTCGAAAAGAGTTCAACGGAACCTGGCGTACTCCTGCAAAATATGTTTATTAATTATCTGTCAGTGATCTGCTGGTTTGTTGGGATCCTTTCACAGATGGGCTTTCTCATCCGCCTGGTACAAAACAACCCGCAGCGGGAGGGAACAAGTTGCTTCAAACAAGGCCCAATTTCTGCCAGTTTAATCTTCATCTCATTGACAAACTTCTGAACCTCAATTTAATTATAGCTCCTTAAATGTTTTCTGACATCCTATCTCCATCTCTCTGTTCTATGGCTTTTTATGGTTTCTTTTTTTTGTCATGAGATGAAGGAATAGATTTTTTTTTCTCCAGTGTCCATTAAAATTCCCTTTGCCTGCAGTGCAGCATGCTCTGTAAAAGGGATGAACCTGCTGCAGGTGAAATAAGCTGATGCAGCACTGTCTTTTTAGAGCAACGACAATCTTTATAGATTATTTTTCCAAGTGTCACGAATCTCCTTCATCGTCACCAGTGACTGTTATCAATTAATATACTTAACAGTCTCATTTTCAATTTGCGTGGAGGCCGTACAGAGTCTGTGCTCACCCCTGCAGATGCTTGAAAGCTTTGCCTTTCAGAGATAAAATGTTACCTTGTATGTGACGGGGGTGCTAAGGGAGGGGGTGGTTCAGGAGCAGAAGGATGTGTTAAAGTGCAGCACCTGAGGCCGCCTTGTTTTCTGAATTTACAGGCTCAGGCTGGCAGTTGTATAAATGAGTGATGCTCTCTGATGTTCTCTTCCAAGCAGGCTACGAAATTGGCAGGGAGTCTTCAGTTTTGTGCTGATGTGTCCAGAATTCAAATAATTTGATTCTTGGGTATAATGACGATTGAAGGCATGGCATTACCTTGAGAAAAAGAGATGGGAGAGACAGCTTCTGTATCCTATATTGAATTAACAACCGATTCCCATTTACTCTCTCTCTGCTGAAAACTCTATTATGCAGGGTTCTTATTGCCCTTATTCAAGGGCATGGAATTAAAAAAGTGATATCGATGGTAATGCTCTCATCTTCCTACCATGACATTGAATAATGGGGACAAAGAAGGGAAATCTCGAAGGATGATACGCCTTTTAAAATACTGCTGATATTGAAAACATACAAAGGACAGCGCATTTGAATATCAAATCCTGAGGTCATAGTCAGATTATTGTGCTTTCTGCTTGTGCTTTTAAATCATCTTTGCTTTTATTTACTCATTATTTCTAGAACATCTTATTTTCTTATGATTTCAGGAGAGAGTGGTTATATACTCGAGGTGAAGATGGAGGCGGAGTGTTGGTTGCACTAATTCCAAGAGAAATCTGTTCTCTCTCCGCCCGGATCTGGAAAGCAAGAGTTAGGGATCTGGAGAGCAAGAGTTAGGAATCTGGCGAGGAAAAGTTCACCAACAGCCTGCTATAATTATACAGGTAAACTAATGTTACTGCTCAAGTGCAAGTTCTTCTTCTGGCACAAGCTGTCCTCTTCCAGTTCAGCTTAAGCCCCTTCTGAAGTTATACAGACTAAATAAAACCGGTGCTCTTACAACAAAATAAGAATATCCACTGTGGACCCTGCAGCATCGTTCCTTTACAAATACATTCATTTGGGTTTTAAAAAGTGTTGTCCTGTGTAAATGACACCTTACACAAAATGAGTGTATTTTAAAATGGATTTTCCCGTGTAAATGATATCTTGCACAAAATAATGAGTGTATTTCCATTAGGAAGCTTTAAATGATATTTTGTAGAATAAGTGACCGTATCTCCATTTTACAGGCAGGAGACTGAGAAGCAGAATATGTAACTACCTTGCCAAAAGTCACACAGGAAATACTTTCTGAGGTGAGAACAAAACACAGATCTTGCTCTTGTTGGTGCAAAACCACAAAGCCTCCCTGAACTATTGAACTTGCCTAATCTTAACCTAGATGTTAACGAGGAACCTTACACTTAAATTTGCAGTCAAACCTCTCTCTGAGGTGGGCGGATGGAAATCAGCTCTGCAGCATGCCTGAACAAGGTTAAAATTTACACTGGAAAAGGTTTAGGGGGCAAATGTCCAAACTCTTATCTGTAATGATACCTGTTGAGTCTGACCACCATCGTTAGGCTGATGGAACTCTGTGACTGCAGTTGGTTTAGAATCAGTTACGCCATCATGCTGTATAAGATCAAGATGCAGCTCAAAACCTCTTCAGAGCAATTCTGAGAAGTCAAAATCACAGTTTGCTTTGATGGAAGGAAGCGCATTTTATCTCCTGCTGCCCCTCGCACCATCGGGACCAGCAGCAGGTGGCTCCCGTTGTCTGAAACGTGGAGTCTTCCTTCAGAGACCCTTCAGCTGGCAGCGCCATGGGATGGAGTGAAGTCCCCATCTCCTCAGAGTGGAACTCAAAGAGGGTAAATTTAGATTAGATATCAGGAAGAAATTGTTCTCTGTGAGGGCGGTGAGACACTGGCACAGGTTGTCCAGGGAAGTTGTGGCAGCCCCCTCCATGGAAGGGTTCAAGGCCTGGTTGGATGGAGCTTGGAGCAACCTGGTCTAGTGGAGGATGTCCCTGCTGGTGGAAGTGGGGTTGGAATTAAGTGATCTTTAAGGTCCCTTCTAAGCCAAACCATTCTGCGATTCCGTGACAGTTCCTTGACACCTGTTTGTCTGCATCACTAGCGTGTGACTACAGAAGAATCAGCTTTATAACCAACTGCATCATCTGCAAAATCTTTTTTGCCATGAACTAGTAGATGTTCACAGATCTATAAGCACTCCTCCACCCTGCTTGTACCATAGTGCTACTAAGGTCTATTTTTGTGGGGAGGGGAGTTGGGGGTGAAAGAAGACAGGCTCCAAGAGGGACATCGCAATGACATGGCAGGACATGATGACCTGGAAAGCTTTGAAGGCATCTGCCACGAAGCTCTTGCTCCTACCTCGTCTGGTGACGCACAGCTCGCTGTGTGTACGTGCTCCGCCCTGCAGAACCATGGTGCTCCTCCACCAGCATCCTGGTCACCTCCACCAAGTTGTGCAAACTAACAGGGATATCGAGGTTTTCTTTCTAACTGGACCAAATATTTGCGAGGAGCCATTGAGGGTGAAGAGAGATGAGAGCTCTATTTTCCTCAAGTACAGAGCTTGCTTGCCTGTGCTGGCAGAGAGACACAGTTTAGGCTGACGATTATAATTACAACCAGCTGCCGGTGGCCTCCAGAGGTCAGCATCTCACTTGGGAAGAGCTAAATCACAGTGCCCTCAAACTCTACTTTTCGAGCATGATCTCATTATGTATCGTTTCCAATTTCACTGCTAATAAGGTGTTTTTGTCCCAGATGCTACTTGTGACAACCAAAGCAGGGAAATAAAAAAGAGCTTTCGGGCATGAAACAGCTTTCATGCAAGGAGGAGCTTAGGAGTATTCCTCTTAGAAAAAAAACAGATTGGAGGGATACGACATAGGTCTTTATAAAGTTAAGAACAGTAAGAAAAAATGTGTTAGGAAGTGACCATTCATTGTCTCTCGCAATACAGTAGCCAACCGATGAGGCAACAGGTTTTAAAATAAACAGAGCATAGAATGAAACTGTGAAAGCTATTGCTTTGAGACTTTGCGGAGGCCAAATAGTGTCGTCGTCGTCCCCCCCCCCCCCCCAAAAAAAAAGGACTCACAGAGAACGGATCTGTGGGTGGGTGTTAAGCAGAGGGGTCTGGAAGCAAGTTTACGAATCTCGTTGGACCTTCCAGCAAGCTGGAGGGGCTTCGCATGGAGGTCACCCACTCGTTGTCTCTCTGGAGGAAGGTGCTGAATGTCCGCTTTTGCCTGACCCGCTGTACCTCTCATGGTGTTAGTTTTGCTGCAATGCTGAGAAACTTCCTTGTGCTTAAGAAGCAAGTGACAACAGTCGTTGCAGGAAAGGCTCTGAACTTAATTCTTTTTAAACACTAGCAAGTATTGATTTGTTCTAGTGATATTATACTGGATTCAATAATCCAGAGCAAAATCAAGATGAACTACCTTTCTAGGAGAGCCCTAACCTTATGTGGTCTCCTCTGAGATGAGACAGTCTCTGTCTTCGTTGTGAAGGAACACCCAAGGGTATTTCTCTGTGGACCACCAGCCTCGAAACATCCTCATGAACACCAAAAGCCTCAGTGTCCCACAACACTCTTAATTTCTCCAACAACACTAATTTCTCCTTAGCATGAAAAGCTCTACAAGGCTTACTGAGCCCTCTCAGTTTTCATACATTTGTGCTTTGAAATGCAACCTCAAATGGATCCAGCAGGCATCAGCTGTACACAAAAATAAATAATCCAAACAAAAAATCTATCCCAATTCAAAAAAAACCACAACAGTCAAATCTTCCATTATTTTTATTAAAGCTGAAGAGTCTCACTACACACAACAAATATTTTATTGATATAATCTAAGTTAATAAAATAGTTGAACAACTCTTTAGATTTATATTTGTATAGAAATGATCTATGGGACATCTCATCTTGAAACAGCAGTGCCTGGA